ATTTTCCCAATTGTTAACTGGAATAGCAGCCAGGGCTGATTCAAGTGTGCATGTACTGATATAGCACATTCTGTTCATTGAAACTATTTTGGCTTCTGGGGGAAAAGAAAGTTCCTATATCTCATGGTTAAATAACTGAAATACCCAAAACATTGCACCTGCCAAACTCTGAGAATGCAGTGAAATTCCAGTCTTGGATAGTTTTTTGTGTTCTCCCTAGCAACAAGCAACACAGATATTTCCTCATGACCTCATAAACCAATGTTCCATTTTGATTATGTTTCAGTGCCACCTTTTTTTAATTTACTGACTATTCAGTTCCCACAAAAAGGATTGTATTCCTGGGGGGAGGGGAGGCAAAATCAACCCAATTGTGTTAGAAAATAAAACATTCCCTGTAGATTCACTTACTTTGGGCTTTAAATTTTGGATGCAGATTTTGAGACGTATCCAGAACAGAATTTCAGCATGTGCATGCGAAGTACAAATAACACTTTTAAAAGTTGTGTATTTCACAGACTATTCATAAGGAGGAATGCGAGCAGGCAATTTTGTTATCCTCCTTCAGCTTTAGGCACAGCAAGGACCATAAATCTAACAAATATTAGTAGCAACCACAACAACAGTATTAACATGAACCGCTGGCCCACTGGCGCACTTATGCAGCCCAGTGTAATCTATTGTTCTAAATCTTTTTGCTCCTTATTGGCTTTGAGAATAGAATTATATTCACCTGTGAGACTCCACTAGAGCTTGCATTATCTTTCATAATTTATACTATGGAATAAAGAATATTTCTGGTGCACAATAAACAATAACATCCAAATGAACTTTTCTCCCTAAAGAAAATGTAAGCACACCATCTGATGAGTAGCAAAACAAAACCAGAGGAAAAAACAGGTCAGAGGAAAACATCTTCCTTCTTGAAGACAAAACTTCACCTTGGATATATGAAAGTGCAGATTTATATTAGCCTAATGTGTTCTTATCCTTTAGAGTTAGTCCCAAAGGCTCAAATCCTTATTTCTGCAGTGGAACATGCCAGTTTTCAGAAGTGAGAAGCTATTCATGGGATCACTCAACCAGTTTTCAAATTATGGGGGGAGAAGAGAGAGGCTTAATGGTATCTACAAGCCCTCTATTACACCCTACTGCCCTATAAGATTTACAATAAATATATATAAAATAAAATCTACCTGACTCCCAACAAATTTGGAACAACAGTAGGTAAAACAACAACATAGCAGCATGGTCCACCAAATGTCATCTTTAAAAATGAAGCATTTAATGAAAAGAAAATGAAGTCCAATAATGCAAATATTCAAGAACAGGGTTCTTCTTTCATAGTCTCAGCACTACTGTAGAATCAATGTTTTCCAAGGTACTCGATCTTGCTTCAGATGTTCAGTTTGAATGTACAAAGGGGCAAGCTGGAATGTGTGGAGTGAGCTGTTGGAAAAACGCCCTGGGGTCGGGTTGCAAGCCCCCGGAACTCTGTGTTAGAATTCCTGCTCCATGATTGCTCCTGACTCTGAGCATCCTCCAGAACGCACAGCTCTGGAAAAGGCATCTCCCTTCTCTTCCAGTGCGCTCAGCGACATATACCACATGGTATATGCACACTACAATTCTGGCATAACAGCATGAAGCATGAGACATCATAGAGCTAATCTATTTATTTACACACTATGTACAGAAAAAAGCATAATGGCGTCCATTCTCTCCAGCTCCAAGAGAACAGGAAAAAAACCCGAAGTGAAAGTACATTACAAAGTACATACAGTGGTACATGTGCTTCAGGTTACATACGCTTCAGGTTACAGACTCCGCTAACCCAGAAATAGTGCTTCAGGTTAAGAACTTTGCTTCAGGATGAGAACAGAAATCGTGCTCCGGCAGCGCAATGACAGCAGGAGGCCCCATTAGCTAAAGTGGTACCTCAGGTTAAGAACAGTTTCAGGTTAAGAATGGACCTCTGGAACGAATTAAGTTCTGAACCCAAGGTACCACTGTACAGCAGAAAAGATAAGACTGTCTTTCATTTCCCGCACTCTTCTCAGACAGGCATCTGATTTACACCTATCACAAATGCAGCATCAGAGTGAAATTGCTAACATGAGCTGTGCTTACTTGCTGCTACTGCTGGTGTGTGTGTGTGTGTGTGTGTGTGTGTGTGTGTGTGTGTGTGTGTCATTCTCTCCCCATCCAATGCAAAGACCCTTCCATTCTGTTTATACTGATATCACTTGCTGCTTGTTCTGATGGCTTTTGGAACTGTAATGAACTGTACCCACCATCAGCCTGATGGGATGTGTTCCAACTGAGAAAAGTTCTGTACCTGTAGTCACACCCCTTCCATTCTCTTGTCTGCCATCCAGTCTGCCATCCGCATGGCACCTAGTATTGCAGAAAGTGTGTTTTCCTCCATGGAGAGCATGTGTTGCGGTGGGGGCCGACAGGACACTCCAAAGTTGTGGGGCGGGCTAATTGATCATTGGCCACTGTTGTGATTGGGCTTCCCTTGTTGTTGGGAAGATGTTAATGTTGCCATTTGATGATTGACAGCCAGAAATGTTAAAACTGCCTGCACGAGGCGTAGAGCTTCCTCTTTTCGCTCCATGCATTGGATTGCCCATCCCCCCTCCCTATATTTAGGGGTGTTCGCTTTGACCTTGCTATGCCTGTCATGGGGTCGTCTGCTCTTTGGGCAGGGGCCCAGTAGGAATTTTGTCCATCTGGCTGATTGGCTGGGGCTATTTGGTTTTTGGCTACTGCGTAGCAAATCGTCACAACTTGTAAAGTTGCAGTTAGGCATTGGTTTATGGTTTGGTTGGTTGAGGGGCATGGATTGGCTGTGCCTGCCCCTTTAATGCTGCTGCTGCTGCGATGGATTCCATTAAAGGAATACAGGGGCTCACTATTGCTTTTGTCTGGACCCTGTCAAGGGGCTAGGGCCACGCAAGAGCCCCTGGTTGCATTTGGGGAAGGCTGAGGACAGGTTCCCTGCTCTGTCGCTACCCCCAAATGTATTCCCCTTTCTGACTTTCGCAGGCTTGTGAAATGTCAGTCTGTCCCCCACTGGGGGGCAGATAGTCACAACCAATGCCTAAGCAACCACTCACATTTCTTATATTTTAATAAAGTTGTAGCCAAAATTATGCCAAAAACCTTAAACAAAAATTCTGTGTGTTGTGTGAGTTATTTGGGGTGGCCTGGGGACCTCGACACGCAATTCTGATCCTGTAGGATATTGCCAGTCTGTGCAATCCACTTCACTTTAGACTACAGTGACAGACCCCCTATTAAAAGGAAATAAGGAGAAAAGGTGCAAAATGGAAGTTGGTTAACTTCATGGTATGGCCTGGAGAAAGGGGTACAGCTGTACCACATACCCATATTTACTACCAAAACAGGTTTGCCACTCTGGTGGATGGAGGCTTCACCTGATATTTTGGAGTTAATTTCTGCACTGATGGTTGTTTCCCCTCTGCAGGTGTTTTTTGACTTAAATGTAATAAAGTGGTCCAAGTTCCACCCAGCCAATGTGTCAGATTCTTTACTCATCCATCAGGCCACGATTACCAAAGCACTTTGCAAATTTTGCCTTGCAAATCTCCCTTTAGTTAACTATTAAGCATAATAGATTTCCCCCCCCTCCCTTACTTTTAAGGCATCACAGCTGATCAATTATTAAGCAAACCTTTTGAAACATACTATACTAAGTGTAAAATGTAATTGTCCCAGTGTTTTGCAGCTTGTTGTGTCAATTATGTATGCTCCTTTTCTGTCCACTATAAATTATTGGGCACATCCAGATCTTTCCTTCCTGCTCATTTAGATACTTGCAGCTTTTGAAAAAATGTGCAACATAAATCTTACAAAGGAAAGAAAGGCATGAATAAGAAAGAATTTGCCATCGAGCAACTAAATCTTGAAACATCAGTGTAACTCTATCCTGGGTGAATATTGCTATTTGCACTTCTCTGTGCTATATAAATGTTGAACTTGCCTAAATCGTTAAACCCCTTCCAGCAAGCATGCTGCACAGTGTTTGAAATTCCCACTGTTGTGTTTGTCCTTCAGCAGTAAAATGGCCTACTTTGAGATTCTGATTATCTTACTTCTCCAAAAGGAAAAAAAAGAAGAAAAGATCATGCTGAGTTAAGAAACAGATGCATTGTGGGAAAGGCAGTGGCAAAGCTTAGATTATATACAAATGAACAATTTTAAGAGCACAAGTTCCAGTAGTCAACCGTTTGCACGTTTCTGCATTAAATAGTACAGCATATGCAAGAAAGAAAACCAAATGCTACCAAATGATGACAATGAAATGAATTCTTACAAATAAGTATATTTGAGCTGGCTCTAGGCACCAGCTGCCATTAATCCACCATGCTTCCAAGTTGTTTATTTTCTGAGGAATGGTGCAGATGTAACACCCCCAATCTGTTGAACATTTGTCCAGACTGGTTTTTTTTTGTTTTTTTTGCAGAGAAGAATAGGGTTTTAAAGATCATTCTGTGAAGGGAAAAATTGCACAGCTAACCAGCTGGAACTATGATGCAGATCTAGGGAGTTCCCTCACGGAAAATCGTGCTTCCTTAATTCCAAGTGTCCAAAATGTTTCCTCAGATTTTGCAGTCTCCCAATGGGAATGGGCCTTAGCCAAGCCCAGTGGCAGCATGGTGCAGCAATGGTGACCCAATGCAGAAGCCAAGTCTCTAACTGGGGCTTACTGTATGGAACATATAACTCCTATCTATTAATGTTTAACAAAAATTATATACTGCTTGATTGTAATAAAACCACTAAGCAGTTTATGAAAACTAAAAAATGGTGGGAATCTTAGGTGACATACCCATGCAATGGAAGTTGTCCCCAGTTCCAGTCTCCACACAGAGGCAGCTTAAGGTCCAAAATCGTAGAATTATAGAATTGCAGAGTTGGATGGGAACACAAGGATCATCTAGTTCAACCCCATGTGATGCTCAAATCTTCTTTGCTCAACATGGGGCTTGAACCCATGACCCTGAGATTAAGGGTCTCATGCTCTGCTGACTGAGATCCTACCCAAAAGTTATATGAGCAGCTTACAATTCCATTAAAAAATTAGAGAGAAAACTATTGCTGCAGAAGATCAGGCTTCAGTAATACAGTTCCAGACATTGATTAATACATCAGGTTGTAGGTACAGGTATATAGAACAACAAAGAATCCCTGCTGCTCCGGTTTCAAGATATAACACAGACTCCAACCCACTTCACAAGACTCACTGACTGACTAATGAGCTGACCTGCCTTAATCACTTATATAGGCAGCACTGAGCCATTGCCATAGCAACCGCCTTGGCTGACCCTGCACCTGTTGACTTACCTCATACCATGATCTATGCTCAGGAAGGAATTTCTTCCCTGAGAGGCTTTATTCCTGGATCCTCTCCCATTTCCAAAATATGTTGTCATCAGTATCTCAAAGAACATAGAAATAATTGTGCTGCTACATACAACATAGGCTGCTGTGAAGCTTTTTGAACCAAAACATTGATTCTCAAAGCAGTTATCAAGGGGGATAATTGATGGCATTCTCTCTTCTCATTTAATGTCATCAGGTAAACCGCAGGATGTATCCACTCATTAACCTTGGTTTCAAAACCCATTGCAGGAAACAGCAAGGCATGTTCTGGGTAATGATGTAATTCTTTTACAGACAGAACAACAACATGCAAGATACTTGAGTAATAGTTTTATAGGTCTGTTCTTGCTGTTCTTGCTATTGCCATTATTGGAAAGAGCCCATAGGCAGCACACAACATTCAATTCACTGCTGAATTTGTATATCTGAGAAATCCTGGTAATTGTAGTAGCACACCCTTGGAACCTTATGCTGATTTTATTAAGCCATCATGTTGAATAAGAGAGACATAAACACAGATTGAGTTGAACTAGTGCCATTATATTTAAGCCTAGACTTATACAAAATACCTGCAGAAGAAAACAACTATTGGTGCAGGAACTAACTTCAGCATAGATCGAAAACTGCAGCCACCAGGATGACTAATTCCCTATAGAAATAACATAATTTATAAGGAGCCCCAACGAGAGATTACAAATTCCTAAATATTGTTGCACAAGTTCATCCAGTAACTCAAAACATATTAGGTAACCTGCTGAATGCGTTATTGCATTTATTTTGCAATGACCTACTACTTTTTCCCTTGTTAAATATCTTGTTTTATGCTGAGGTCCAGAAGTCACCAAGCAAATGGAAATAATATGGAACATTAATCTGTATAAATCAGTAATTCTTACCATTGAAGGGGAAACAAAACTCTTCAGGTGTTATCCAAAAAAAGAGAGGAGCTAATTAAAAAAAAATACAATGCTTCAGGCTCAGCAGATATATATATACAAGCACAAAAGTATAGTTTGAGAATCAACTGTCTAATGAATTTTGCAGACCTGGGCAACTAGGAAAAGCAGAAAATTCATTTTTGCTTGTAAAGGGATGCAATGCTCACACAGAAGGCATAACAGCCAATTTTATTGGACTGGTATTTGGGCTATAATTGCACCTGAGCAGACAGCATTTCTATCAAATGAGATGAATGAAATACCTGACTGCCTTCTGGTAGGGAAATAGGCACGTTACGACTCCATTAAGTTGGAGTTCCATTTTTGATTTTTTTCCCCATTTCTCCTTGGGCTGTTCATTTGCCTTATGCATATTTTAAATAGTGTGGTATGGTCTCACATGGAAGAAAAGTTAATTACTTCAGATTAATCAGCTCACGGAGCTCACATTTCCCCTCACTCCGCAAAGAAGGCTCTGAGCTCCACACAATACAAGTCCGGTTTAGTACCTTCAGACAACTTGAAGGCTACTCTTCACAACTAGAGTCCTGGGACCAAGGGAAGGATTGTGTTTACCAGGGGAGATGCAATTATCCAGGACAAGGTAAGACAGCACACATGTAAGCAAAATGTCATACTGAGATTTTTGTGGAGCTGGGGAGGTTTAAATGATAGCGACATTTTTTTTTAAAAGTCCTAGGATGGAGAAACTTTTTCCACTCGAAAGCTACATTCCCTCATGGGGGAACCTCCAGGGGCTGCATTTCAGTGGCAAATGCGGCCAGAGGCAAAAGTGGGCGAAACATTGGATGTAACTTATACCTTTGTACAGTAGGGTACATTCTAGTCACACAAAAGCAAGGTTTCAGCCAGAAGTTTCTTCCCACACCATCTAGGCAAGCAAGTGGCAGTATAAGTACCCAAGGACTCATTCCAGTCAGGCAAGAAAACAAGAAGGGTATAGAACATGGCTTTAGGAGAAGCATGTGTTCCAGGGCCTAGGATCCTGCCCTGGGTCCCCACACCTCTCGGAACAACGATTTTCAAGAATTTATTCTGCTCTCAAGAATATCACCCAAAATACTTCCTCACTGTCAAGGAGCTATCAACAAGCCAGGGCAGGCACACACATGGAAGGCATGGAACACAGCAATGTCCCTGGTACATCTTAATGAAGGCATTGCTGAAAGTAAGCTCTAAGCACACCCTTCCCCCTCTAGCCTCTCACTCTGGATCCCTCCTAAGCAGACAAAAGCTGTGTTGAGGGGGTGAGCTCCTCCTCTGGGCCTGTCTGGCTCATTGCTCAGCAATGTGCAGGACCCTACTTTAGTGGGGAGAGGGGGAAGGAGAGTCAGTAGGGCTGGGACTGTCTGCATGCACGCTGTGACTCTCAGCTTCTAATCCTGTCCTAGAATGCCCTCCTTGTTCAGACTCCTCAAGTCTCTTGCTTCTATCAGATCCCAGGATGTCCCTTCTGCTGACTGCACCTCAGTGCCCTACCACCAAGCTCTGGGTCCTAAAGTGTCCTCTTTGGACTCCTCCCTGGGGGGCTCTTGGGAGGCAAGCTCCCACCATTCAGCCAGTCCCTGACCCCCACTCTCGCTGGTGGCAAAAAATGAGCCATTGAAGTGAAGAGGCATTTTTTTTGTGTTGGCTTTAGTTATTAGTACAAATCTTCCATCTCTATGGTAGACAACATTCCCTTACCCCTCCTCTTAAGTAAACAGCAACCTTTTCACTGATTTCATTAAAAAATATGAGTCAGATCCTACATACCAAAGGGGGGAAAGATGGGAAATAACGATATATTTTTTATTTATTTTTTAAACCCTTGTTATTTTCTTGGCATCTGTGCATAAGTTATTAGCCCGATTCACAAGTCACACTGTATTTCTGCATTTTGTTTGTAACAGAAGTATTCCTATTAAATTTAATTATGTTATTTATTTTAAGTGCTGTTTGGGAATCCCTCTTTGCTACTAGTTCTTCATACAATAACAGAGTACATAACATGGTTGTTTACTGGTGAGTTCTTACTGCAGTCATCTGTTGCTATAGGCAACTGGATCCGGAGCTCTGATGGAGGCACCTTCAGGGATACCAAATGGAACGGATTTCTAAACAGTACTTTCACCTTGAAGCAACACCAAATCATGTTTACTTTTAGAAGTCTGACTTCTGACATACCTACAACAGACAGCTATATCAGATTAGAGTCTATGATATGTTTCCCAACAGATCAGGGTCAGAAAAGTGAGGAAAGATGATTTACACTTGCACTGCTAAACAGAATAGTGCTTTAGGGTCAAATGGGGAAGACTTAACAGGAATTTTCCCTCCTGCTGAATATGGATTGCTGCACCTCCTCCAGTTTCTGTTTAGAATCCCATGGCTGAATGCAAAACTTAGGAAATCAGCATGATTTTTCAACACGGGTTGTAAAATCTGAGACTGAAAAAGAAAGTGCCATTGTTACCTAATGATATCCTTCAGCACCAGACATCCATGTATGTATTTGTGGATAGAAAGTTACAATTGTGCATTATTATTATTTGGGGGGGGGGGGGTCTCAAAGTACCAAAGTAGGTGTAGGAGATCTGAGATGATAGAGTAGATCAGGGCCCAGCTTGTGAGAACTTTCCCTGCTATTCCCATCAAACAACCAGTAGGACAATCTTTGCTGGTGAAAGATGCAACACAACCTAGCATCTAATGCTAATACATCTAATACTAAACTTCTGCACCTTCCAGGCAGGAGTGCATAAAAGCTCAGTGGTATTTTTTTGCTAATCCTAGAGAAATGTGCCTGTCCATGTCCTGACCCACCCCTGAAATTCTTTGGACAGTTTGCCTGACTACAAATTTACAAATTGTTCTAAAAAGATTTCTGCAAATGAAAATCAGTATCAACTGTAGCTGCTTCCAATGCCAGCTTTTTGAGTTAATGTAATGCTAGAGCTCTGGCGTGCTCTGGTCCATGGGGTCACGAAGAGTTGGACACGACTAAACAACTAAACAACAACAACAACAACGCTAGAGCTCAGGTAGAAAGTAAGAGAGGTGGTACCTCAAAGAAGAGGTACCTGATCACAGGACTTCAGAAATGCCATCACTGGGTTTACATGATGAATGGTTGCAATACCAGCTATACTGATCCTGCTAATATGTTTAGACTGTGGGTGTCAGGTGTGTTGATCTCTCACAAGCATTGTAATAACCTGGGAAAGTTGACATTTGGAAGTAACCTAAGATTGCACTGAAAAGGAGAAAGCCCTTTATCCCACCCTGCATCAAAATGCCACAAAATGTCACCATGAAGATATTACAGAATAGGCACCAAACAAATATCTCAATAAAGAATGATTTATTTATTTTTTTAAAAGAACTTCAGGTGCTACCTTTGATGTTTCTTAAGTTACAGTTGAGGAAATGGTGGACTCTGTTTTCCCTTATAGGCATTAATTCCCCCCCAAGTAACACAAATTAATTACAAAGAAATAGTGGCCTTTAAAAGATGTTAGTATGGGAAAATAAAACAAAAATGGATTTAGTGAACAACAGCAGTAATTTCATATAGACAATGATTTAACCTAAATAGGTCTAACAGCATCCAAGTGATGAAACTACAATAAGAAGTACAGCGGTACCTCAGGGTTACATACGCTTCAGGTTACAGACTCCACTAACCCAGAAATAGTGCTTCAGGTTAAGAACTTT